GAAGGCCTTGTGTGCCATGCTTTCCAAGTCCTGTGCCAGCTCTTGCAAGCTCTCCCCTTTATCACGAACTCTCGTTCTAAACCTAGCCCTGTAGACTTCTGACTGATTTTTGGTTCCGTACCTGGGTTCTAGAGCCGCTTAACAGTGCTCTATAGTTGTGTCTGTCGTCTGTTGACAACTGTCCAAGTATTTCCAGTGGTTGTTCCTTCAAGCTCGTTGCCAGATATACTGCTTTCTGCTTCTCTGTCCACCCATTCATCTCTGTCAGTAGCTCAAATTGTGCTACTATATGCTTCCCACGGTGCCTTCCCATCGAATTCCTGTGGCTTCCTTCGCACTGGATCACTCCTATTACTGACATTCATATCTAGTATGTGACTTCTAACGGGACTGAATATGTCTGCATTGGGGTTTAGCTGCGGGCTCTGTAAGGGGCGTGCCATTGTCTGGGGCTGATTAAGTCGATGGTCAATGTATCCTCCTTGTGTAAAAGACAATAGATCGTCCTTTAACGTATCTAATTCGCTTTTAAATTTACTAATGTTTTCCATTTGTACTTCTTGCCACTGTTGTTGATTTTCCTGTAGTTGCTGCTGACTTTCCTGCAACTGTTGGATACCTTCTTCCTGTTTCCTTTCTTGTTCTAGTTGCCACTGCTGTAGTCTCTCTTCTTGTTTCTTTTCTCGTTCTTCTTGTTTATTTTCTTTCTCCTCTAACAACTGCTGTAATTTCTCTTCTTGTTTATTTTCTTTCTCATCCAACAACTGCTGTAATCTCTATTCTTGTTTCTTTTCTCGTTCTTCTTGTTTCTTTTCTTTTTCCTCCAACAACTGCTGTAATCTCTCTTGTTTATTTTGCTGTTCGAGCTGCCATTGTTGTAGGTTTTCTTGCCACTGCTGTAATCTTTCTTGTTTCTTTTCTCGTTCTTTTTGTTTCTTTTCTTTTTCCTCTAACAACTGGTGTAATCTCTCTTCTTGTTTCTTTTCTTTTTCCTCTAACAATTGCTGTAATCTCTCTTCTTGTTTATTTTGTTGTTCGAGCTGCCACTGTTGCAGGTTTTCTTGCAACTGCTGTTGTCTCTCTTGTTTCTTTTCTTTTTCCTCTAACAATTGCTGTAATTTCTCTTCTTGTTTCTTTTTCTTTTTCTTCCAACAACTGCTGTAATTTCTCTTCTCGTTCTTCTTGTTTCTTTTGCTGTTCTTGTATTGCTGCCATCAAGTCTGCTATGCTGTAGTTTGATTTGCCGCTTCTGCTTCTCGTTTCCATTTTTTTTATCCCACTCTCTGACACCAGTTTGTTACGTCTCGGTTCGTTAGTTAATTTTCCGTAACTTCGTTCCGACGAAACTTTAGCGACACAAGTCCTTTCTTAATAAAACTGGTTTGTTCTTTCCGAATATAACTTTACCGATACACTTATTTTCAACAGTCGCTCTATAACAACCGCTATAACAACGAACTTCAACAATACTTTCTGACTGCAGTTCAATTACTCACTACCTACACACATTGTCCCGTCACGTTGTCATCCTCTTATATATACCAGACTACCCTATATCTAGTAATCTCCCGACAATTCCCGAAGGTTCGAGAGAACGAGTAGCGTGACTCTAGTCACGTGACCTCGCTGACGCAACAATACTAGTGTATAAATCAAATGAGAAGGACAGAGCACAGATTGCCTATTATGTAGTTTTCTGCTTAACAACAAACAAACAAGCTGTATAAAAATGCACTGCATGATTTTTCGTGGTATTGACAACATTCTCATGTAAAAGTAATAAATTAATTGCGTATGAGATGTTTGCGAAAATTGTAATTACTGCTATAATTATTCTTGTATGAAATGCTTGCACAACTACGCACAGCATACATGTATATAATAAAACAATTAATATTTCAAACAAGTTATATGTAACTATGTTTCTTTATTAATATAAAAATATAATATATCTTTAACAATTAAATGAAAATGTATTTAATTTTTTAATTTAATTATTTAAGTATTTTCATATTATTTTTTGTAATTATTACAACATATAGAGATGGCAACAAACTAAACGCTTCCTAACGGAAGTTCTAAGAGAAGTTTTGTCAGTAGTCCTATTAATATTATAGTTCAGGGACTTTTGGCAATGATTCTTAAAGAGGGGTATTAGACTTTCATGCTATTTTTATTGTTTTGCTAAGCTTTATTAAAAATAATTGATAGCTTTGTGGAAGACAATCTTTAAATAATCAAAAATGTGCTCAAAGCTCAAAACTAACCTAAATTATTTATTTCTTATAATCGTGTTGTTCGCTGGCGTAGTCATGGGAATGAGCAAAGATGAACGAAACCGATTGAAGTAAGTTAGGCTACTGTTATTGGTTATACTTTTATTATGTTTTGTAGTTGCTTAGATTATCTCATTTAACTACATAATAGCAGTAATGCTTATAGTTAGGTAAGCATTTTTCAACCTTTATGATCTGCAATGTCTGATACGAATAAAGACTAGGAGCAGGACAAAATGTAAATTTTATATCATATTTAAACAATGAATTTTTCATTTGTTCTGAATAATTGATTTCAATAATATTACACTAGCACTTTGCTATTTACAGATTACATGATAAAATCAGTACGTGTTTTGAATAACACATCTATCCCAGTTTAAGATTTTTTTAGATATATGCAGATGTGTTGTTCCCACAGTACTTCCACAGGTTGCACCTAAATAACCTAAAATTTAAATTTATGAAAAACCAAAGGAAATATTGCCCCAATTGTTCTGAAGAAGGTTAAGGACTGAATAAGTGAGCAACTAGCCACAGTTTTTTGTAAGTATTTGAATAGTAGGCAAGTGCTTGAAAATTGATAGTTGATTTATGTTACTCCTCTTTTTTATAAAAGAGGTGATAAAAATTATCCTGGTAATTGTAAGCTTGTTAATCTTACATCAATGGTGAAAAAAAATTGTTGAAAGTCTAATAAAAGCTGCTTTGTAATGTCATTTAACAAGTTTAAAACATTTGTTGGATTGTCAATATATGGTTTCATTCAGGGAAATCTTGCCTTACTAGTCTTCTGACATTCTTTAAAGATGATACTGCTTGTGTAGATGAGGATACGAGTGTGGGTTTGGTGTGTCTGGATTTTGAGAAAGCATTTGATAAGGTGCACATAAAAGATTTGTTAAATATGTTATCTCTGTAGTAGTAATATGGGTCAGGTAAGCTCATTGGATAGAAGACTAGCAAGATGGAAGAAAGCAGCAGGTTGTTATAAACAGGGCTGAACTTAGGAAAATGGGGGCCCGGAGCAAGGGTTCATTTTAGGGGCCCTTTTGGTACTTTTATACTTTTCATATGGTATGCTACTATCTATTTTAACCTGTTTATTTAAAAAAAAATTAGTCTATTTTTATGTTTAATTTACCTATTTTTATTTATATATTTTTTATTTTCATCTAATTCTATTTTTACCTTTTTTGGGGCCCTAGGCAGCTGTCCTGTTTGCCTTGCCTTTGATTTGGCCCTGGTTATAAATGGAGTTCAGTCAAATTGGATTAATGTTATGAGTGGAGTACCTCAGGGCTTAAAGTTATGGCATTTGCACTATTTTTATTTTTGTTAATGACATCAATGAAGGAATGGTCAATTAATTATTTAAATTTGTTGATGACATAGTTTTGAGTGTTGCTGGCTGTGAGGAGGATGTAGCTGCTTTACAAAAGGATTTGGATTACTGGGTGAATAAATAGCAGATAACTTTTGACTATAATAAATGCAAGGAAATGGATGTGGGATATAAGAGTTAATATTATGAGTATAATTTTGATAGGAATAACCTTAACAGTGTTATGGAAGAAAAATATCTTGGTGTAATAGTTGATCAATCTCTTAACTCATCCAAGCAATGTGCTGTTGCTAGCTGTAGGGCAAATAGGAATTTAGGTTGTATCTACATAAATAGTGAACATAAGTCTAAAGTGTTTATAATGTCACATTTAAAGTATTGTGTTCAGTCTTGGGCTCCTTATGTTAGAAAGTATATTGAATTGTTTAAAAGGGCTCAGATGACGGCTACTAGAATGATATCTGGGATGGAAAGGTTGTCATACGAGAACAGGTTAAGATCTCTGAACTTGTTTTCTCTTGATATAAGAAGAGTTAGAGGGGATCTCATTGAGGTGTTCAAGAATGTTAAGGAAATTGATAGTGTTGCTGCATTATTTTGATGGTGAGAATAGTAAGACTAGGAAACAGAAATAAATATTTTGGTAGGGTAGGAGTGATCCTCAGCTAAGACAGTTCTATTTTTTAAACAGGGTGGTAGGCCTCTGGAACAGGTCACCTTCAGATGTGATGGAAGCATTAAATTTAAATGGAGTGTAATTTGAAAGCTAGAGGCTGGCTTTGAGTTTATAAATATATATAGTTTATCTAGGACAGCCTAGATGGATGAACAGGCCCCTTGTTGTCCTTAAATGTTATGTACTGTTACTTTTGGACATACCTACATTATCCTGTTTAATGAATCCTCTAACAAATTATTCATATAATAATAATAATAAATTACATGCGAGATACATTAGTGGAATGCAGTGTGAAAATGGTAATATCTATTCAGAGGATATGAATAATTTATAACTACAACACTTGAAAGTAATTTTTTGGCCACTGGCAAAAGAAAAAGAAATTATTTAACAATTTTGATGTCTTAAGTAATGTCTGTTAGTCTTCTATTATAAAACATAAAGTGAGTTGTATTTGAACTTGCTGTTTTAAATTTGAAAAATCAAGTGAAATAAGAACAATTATTATAATGTAGTTTTCCAATAAATTTGCTTTCAACCAGTTTTGTTTTTAAATCATTTTTACCATTGTTCACAACTGGTGTGAATATTCATAAGTATGCCTGTATTATCAAGTGGTAAAAAAATTCCATTGGTCCTTGATAGCCTCTGACTATACACTAAACTTTTTTTTTCTTTTTGTCAGTTAGCCAATACTGATTTTGAGACCTGAATTGAGTATGATGTGATATCTCAGTACAGTAAAATATGACGAGAAACATTCTATTACTTAAGGTGTTGTAAGTATTAAAAATATTAATATTGTACAATAAATCAACTGATACCATGAGAGAGTGAACCACAAGTACCCTCACAGACTGAAAGAAACTGCTGAAGTTGTAAATGTCAGGTATTTCATTAGATATGAGTTAGATATACCATTGTAAACTAAATTACTTTAAAGCTATGTACAAATACAAGGGTTTTGAAGGAGGTTAAAGATTGAATATGTGAGCCCTTACTACTATTTTTTGTCAGTCCTTGAATAGTGGACAGCTATCAGTGGATTGAAAGTTAGATAATGTAACTCTTCTTTTCAAGGGAGGTGATAAAAATTGTCCCGTTAATTATAGACCCATTAGTCTTACATCAGTTGTAGGAAAAGTTTTGGAAAGTCTGTTAAAAGATGCTTTGTAAAGTCATTTCACAAAGTTTAGAATTTTATTG